TAAGTATACCTATGGCCACTAATTTTCTACTTATACCATGAAAAACAACGGTTCCCGATAGCAAATTATCTATTAAATAATTCATAACGATCGATCTACATATTTAGTAGTGTTCTAGTAAAAATGTTGAACGTTTCGAGGACGTTATGAAAATTGTTACGGTCGCCGTTGTAGCAATTTTCTTCGTCTCTTTGCATCGATCGAGATGCCGTTTGCAGATGCATCTAACGAGCCTAATCATTTCACTCGGTTATTTTATTGACAGAGCTTGATTAACTCTCTTCTCCTCGTCGCCGAGAGGGGCTTAAATTCTCGAGGACTATCATCCCGCTCAACGTCCTGACGAAATTACCACGAAATTTTCGTGCGACATACCGTGCGGGCGAGCCTGGTCGTTAAGGCGTGCAATTAAAGCGAACGATGGCTCGCTCAACCCTCGCGCGTGCTAATTAGAACCTTTAAATACTAACGAACCTCATATTACTTATCTCCTTGCTCGATTACTGTGCCCATGGAACGTGCTGCGAATTCAGTCGTCGACGATCCGACAGCCTTGACCCTCGTCGTTCAACTTTCGCTTCCATTTTCCTTTCGAGATGCACAAGTTCAAACTGTTCACGTTTCGGAAGATGTTGGAAAACTGTTCGAACGAACGTTCGTTACGATCGAACGAAACGTGGTTTCAGAGGGCGCCACGAGACTCTGCGAGACGTGATCGGTATCGCAGATTTACCGACGATAGTTAAGCGACCTCTGTGAAACTACAGTATCGACCGACTCCCATTTCTCACCGGATATAACCGGATATGCATACTGATTGCTTCCGGAATAACTAACGCGTGCCGAAAACAGATGTAGATTGTTCAGAACGGGAACAATATTGATAAAAAAAGAGCAAAATAGTAGAATTTCGAATATTAGAAATTAGTTTATTTTTAAGAAAAATTCTCCACTATGGGAAGATACCAATATAGCTTCTTTTGACATGTTTGCATACAGATAACCGTGGAAATAATTTTTAGTTATCGTATGATTAATGTAATTTTATTGATGAAAACTGATTCAAATTTTAAACTTCGACAATTTTGATAGAAATAGTGTTGAACAGAGATCGTTCCTAATTAATGGGGAAACTCTATTTAAAAGAAACGATCACGAATTGAAAATGCTATAGTTGGCGTATCGTTGATGAAATTCTCGTGGCAGGCGAATGCGGACAGCGATAAGCGTACAATTGCAAACGAATCTTTACTATCGTGACCTCTCTTTTTATCGGATTTTCCCTCTTTTCTCCATTAAAGCGTTTGGTCGTCGGAAAAGTTCGTAGCCTTGACCTCCCTCGTGTCCCGCGGACACTAACGGTTCCAAGATAATTAAATTAATTGCGCCCGAGTTGTTCCCCTTCAATTAAATTTGTCTATCCTCCCTTTTGTCGCCTAATCGGATAGTACGATTCGTTCGCGTTATCGCGTGCCAGTTTTAATTATCGCCGACTGCAAATATATCATACAAAGCTGTTTGCGCTGAAATTAACGCGCCGGAAGATATTTTCTTCGTGCTTTGAAAACCATTAATAGGATTCACTTGAATAACTTTAGAGCCGGCTCGCTGAAGCATCGAAAATATTTTAAGAATTGTTATACAATAAAATTGCTGGCAGCTGGGAAACTAGGCGTTAAATTTACTAATATTAAAATATTTTCACAAATAATATGCTCAAGTTCTATAAATCTAGCGTTCAATGATCGTTGCATGGATCTCGATCGCTATAGGAGTTGTCAGTCCCGTTTTCTCGAGTATTTTACTGTTTATTATTCTCGGATGTATACTAGTCTGAATCATGACAATGACAGAGGGTTGAAATGACTCATGGTCTAGTTTAGGAACGCGCGGAGCCCGGCTGTCCAAGAACCCCAGTTTACGATGCTTAGGATCTAATAAAGTTGCGTCTGACGTTCTCGAGATCCATAACTGCTTCATTTGTGTGACAACGAACGCTAATTGTAAGTTATGTCACCGTATACTGGGGTGTATCTTTCAAAAAAAAGTATTGGGTTGGCCAAAATAGTATGTGCAAATTTTGGCGATACTTGCCAAACAAATCTACAAATTTTAAAAGCACATGGTTAACCAATAGCTAACGTTTAATCACAAAATAATAACATAAACGTTTGAAGATTAGATTTCTTTTATAATTTTGACATAATTTTACAAATGAAATAAGAAAGGAAACTGTAAAAATTTATGTAAATTGACTTCAATGACAAAATGAAATTGAACTTTATTTTGTTGAAATTGATTTGTCACTACACCTTAAACAGTATTAACCATAACTATTATTTTTCGACAAAATTTAGTTCAAATCTTTTTGATGATTTGGAGGAGGGGGGATGATCCATGCAGAATGTTCACAAATTATAAGTTTGTGCGTTCAAAATTTATATCCTATGCAAACTATAATTAATTATACGTCTAACGTTTAAATTTTATTTTTTGGAACGTTACGAATCTAAAAATTAATAGGGCAAGTGGAAATAATTTCCGGTAGGTGGAAATGTTCGATCGATATTTAAGATCTGTAGGATCTAACTGGAAGAAAATTCTCATAGATTTTAAATTATTAGAATATTCTATTATCCGAATACTCTATCGTCTGAACGTTTCGTTGTTCAAAACGATATAAACTTGCTACACCGCGCTATAATCCGTTTCGAGTTTCGTTTGGATATTCCTAGCGACGTACCAAGCGATCGTTAAAGCCTGACTGACTACGAATCTTTGCCAAGAACCCAAGAAAATCCACGGAGCCCGTCTATCGTCCAATGGCGTCCAGTCTCCGGGTCAACTAACAAGTTGTAAGCTTTTTTCTGGATTCACGTCGGGCACAAAGGACAGAAGAGTTGGCAGTTTTTGCTCGCCTCGCGAATCAGCGGGATTTTCACGGTTGCAGGGGGACGCAAAATGGTGAAACGGTTCCAACTGCCAAGCAAAGGGACGCGGGATCCGCCGTTTGGATCGCGACCAACAATGTCAATGGCGTTTCCGTTGCAGTTAACGCTGCGTTCGCAAAGAATTTTATCCGGTTTCATAGTGGCTCGATCTCCACGCAGGGACCGGCAATTAGAAGGCCAGACGCCCTGTTTCTTGAACAAGTAACTGCAACGCGCAGCCGTGTATCATTATCCTGGAACGGTTTCCGCTGACGCAACGGTTTTACGTCCCCGACCGTCGCCTCTTTTCGTCAACTAACGCTGACGGGGATGGATATTAACGCTAGACCTACCAAACTAGTCGAAACGACTCGTTTTCAATTTTAATTTAAAAATCAGTACGATTAATCGCTTCCCAAGACATTTCTGTACATTATTGATATGATACCTCAATAAAATTCGTTTACTGCAAATAAAAGTAAATTATGTTGAACTTACTGTCATTTCTAAAATATTAAGTTGGTGCATATGAAATGTCGGTTTTTCTTTACATATGAACGTTTGTCTCCCTGTTTTTGTTATGCTTTTGTTTTTGGCATAACCTCGTTTATAGTTGTACTGTCCATTGCCAGAGTCACATTTCAACAAAGAAGATTTTCTCAAAAGTGTTTCCTTTTGTTATTTGTTTTGAATTTTATACCGATATGAATTCTACCGATATTCGTGTAATTTTTTTATATGAATATAAACTTGGTAATAATGCTGTAAAAATTGCACGCAATATAAACCAGGCGTTTGGGGTGAATACTGTTAACGATCGAAAAGTGCAGCGTTGGTTTGACAAATTTCGGTCTGGTGATTTTTTCCTACAAAATGAGCCGCGTGGAAGACCCAAAACATCTGTGAAAAATGATGCTCTGAAAACATTGGTGGAAACGAATCCAACTGTACCTACAAGGGAACTTGCTACCAGAATGAAAGTTGACCATACAGCAATATTGCGACATCTTTCTGAAATTGGCAAAGTGAATAAAATAAATAAGTGGATACCGCACGAACTAACCGAGCGAAATAAGCTGAATCGGTTGAACGTATTGTCATCATTACTAACCCGATTTCATCGAGTGCCATTTTTCGATCGGATTATTACTTGCGATGAAAAATGGGTTCTTTACGACAACAGGAAAAGGTGTGCTCGGTGGCTTGATAGGGATGAGGCTTGTGCTCATACTCCAAAGCCATCACTTCATCCACGGAAAATTTTAATAACAGTTTGGTGGAATGTGACTGGAGTAATTCACTACCCATTCCTTCGAACTGGGGAGACAGTTACAGCCGAAAAGTACTGCCAGTACATTGATGAAATGCATGAAAAATTGAAAATTATACGCCCATCACTTGTTAATCGGCATGGCCCAATACTTCTCCACGACAACGCTCGGCCGCATATGTTGCACAAAACAATTGTGAAATTAAATGAATTAAAATTTTGCAGCGCCCAGCTTATTCACCGGATCTTTCGCCAACCGACTTTCATTTTTTTAAACATTTAGAACAGTTTCTACGGGATAAACAGTATGAAAATGAAAACAGCCTGAAAAATTCCATATCATAGTTTATTGATTCTAAAGATCAGAATTTCTTTAAGACAGGCATCTATGCATTAAATTCTCGTTGGGAAAAGTGTATTGAAGCAAATGGGGCATATTTTAATTAAATAAACAGCTTTTCAAAAAAGATATGTAGTTTTGTATATTCACTTAAAAATCCGACATTTCATACGCACCAACCTAATATAAAGGCATATTAATTACGAATAAACACTCGGATGAATTAATAAAAGTAACAATTCTAATACGAAAAATACGCGATTTATGCGTTTCTTATAAATCTATAATATAATAGATTTTATTTTATTACCCAAACTGGAGGCCCTAATTACGAATGGGAATAAATTCTATTTTAATGACAACAAATTCAATTTGACCAATTGCCAAAATTCCTATCCATAACAGAGATAAATAAGAAGTAAATATAGTAAAATGACTCTATTTATATTATAATATTTACCTCCAGGTGAGATTCCGATGTGGCCACTGTTGTCCTTGGACCGTATAACGCTTGTGCCTCATCCTCGTATACCTGGGATCCGGTTGGTCCGGAAGTCCGCATCGCCGCAGCTTCATCAATTTCGATGTGGCCTCGTCGATTTTGCCAGTTACAGGAATACCACCAAATTTCTAACGACAGAAACCATACGAAACAATTAAACGAAGGACAACGCTTGTAACGTTACGCGAGTTACTGTAGCTTTTTCAGCTCAACCATTCGAGTACCAAAATGGCGCTGCTTTACTATTTCGCGTAAAAACTTTTGAGGTTATAGCACAAATCTTAAAGATCTTACAATTATTAGCAAATTCCTACAACAATGTGATATTTCTATTTAGTAATTTAATATGTTTTATAGTTTAGGTAGTAATATTTTGTGTAATGTCAATCTCGTATTGAATATACAGGGTGCCTCACCCGATTTTGACATCTTCATTTTCTCGCTATTGTTACTCGTAACAAAAAATGTTTCAGCGGAGGCTTGAATGGTATCGAGTGGAGCATATTCTGATGTTATTAGTTTTTTCGTGAGTGGACGCGTAAAAGTCATATAAAGGTCAACTTTGTTTTTTTAAATGAAACGAGGTATTTTTTAATACATCGATCGATTCAGCTGGACAATCGTTATAAAAAAGTACTAATTATGTAACTTCGAAAAATTAGTAGTTCAGGAGATATTTCAATTTAAATAATTCTAAAACACCATTACTGTTGTACTAAGACATTAACGTTTATTTAGTAGTTACTATCCAAATAAAAACTAACTATTCTTATAATGAAATAGCTTTTTTTATAGCATAAGGCTATTTCATAAAAATTTTATTGTATTTCATTTTAAGATATCACTATAGTCAATTTTTACTATCCAATTAAAAATTACATACATCTATTAGTAATTTTCATTGGATATATGAAAATTATTCTTATTATTAAATAACTTCTTTTTATACCATAAGTCTATTTCATATGAATTTCATTGTATTTCATTTTAAGATATCACTATAGTCAATTTTCACTATCCAATTAAAAACTAACTATTCTTATAATGAAATAGCTTTTTTTATAGCATAAGGCTATTTCATAAAAATTTTATTGTATTTCATTTTAAGATATCACTATAGTCAATTTTTACTATCCAATTAAAAATTACATACATCTATTAGTAATTTTCATTGGATATATGAAAATTATTCTTATTATTAAATAACTTCTTTTTATACCATAAGTCTATTTCATATGAATTTCATTGTATTTCATTTTAAGATATCACTATAGTCAATTTTCACTATCCAATTAAAAACTAACTATTCTTGTTATTAAATAACTTTTTTTATATAGCTTAAGTAATGAGATGTGATGTAAATGGTCGTTACGTTGAACTATTCCTGTAAATAAACGCTAACGTCTTAGTACAACAGTAATGGTGTTTTACAATTATTTAAATTGAAATATCTCCTAAACTACTAATTTTTCGACGTTACACAGTTAGTACTTTTTTATAACGATTGTCCAGCTGAATCGATCGATGTATTAAAAAATACCTCGTTCCATTTAAAAAAACAAAGTTGACCTTTATATAACTTTTACGCGTCCACTCACGAAAAAACTAATAACATCAGAATATGCTCCACTCGATACCATTCAAGCCTCCGCTGAAACATTTTTTGTTACGAGTAACAATAGCGAGAAAATGAAGATGTCAAAATCGGGTGAGACACCCTGTAGTATATTTGTTCAATCTAGTATCAAGTTCATTGTACCTGTTTTTTAACAATACTCGTTATGACGTAAAGATGCAATTTCTTATCATTGGCATAATTTTATCATCGATAACAAACTAGTCTGTTTAGAAAATAATGTATCTTTAACTAGTTTTAAAAACCGTTACCTGTACCTTTATTTCACTATATTCCTGTGAATGGATCAATGAGCTCAGCTTGTGAGTTTGCGATTTTCAATAAATACAATACAAGTTATTGTAAAATCACGTTAGAGATATCTTATTACAATCAAAGTCTCCTATAACAGTATGTACTGTGCAGATATTGAAAACTAATAAAGAGGAATTCCCATATTTGCCTTACCAAATTTTTAAATACTTTGTATCCAACCCCAAAGATTGAAAACTTAACAAACGACGATGGTCCTATTTATTCGATAAAAAAAATTCGACGGAACATAGAATTCTTTAGAAACGAGGTACATTTTGTCTGCAAACTTATTAAAATATACAATAATTTTGTTCTTTCTCAGAAGCTGTTACTTTCGATCTCCTATCAAATATAAAGGAATAGAGTGTTTTATTGATGCTTGCAAACTTTCTAAGGGTAGTGTACATTACGCAAGAGTCAGAAAGACAGAAGTTGCATAAGTTTAGAGAAAGAAAAGGCCCGAGCAACCCGTCGCTAGTAGGTACAAGTTTCGCGGGCTATGGATTCCAGTGGACGCTCCGAGGGAAAACTTGCACCTTAAAAACGTGCTGCCATCGACTGGCACCAAGTCTTTGAACCCGTGAAAAAGTTTCCCAAAGTTCAACAGGACGCGATAATTCGTTTGCAATTCCAGAACTCCTCTTTTCAATCGGGAAAAGAGCGGCGAAACTTTCCGCGAGACACCTTTGATGCGCGGTGCGACCAACTTTTTTCTCGACAACAAAAAGCCATTAACTTTCCGACCTTACGGGACCTCGTATTCCCCTTTCTTTTACAGAAAACCACCCAAATATTGGGTTGGCCAAATATTTCGTGCGAATTTATCCTTATCTTCAGCCACTGTGAAACGCAACTAACTTCGGTTCAAATCATAAAAGCACATAATTACTCGACAGTTAACATTTAATTGTATATTGTCACGAAATAGTTTGAGGATTGGTTTTTTTTATAATTCTGGCATAATTTTACTTTTTGGAAGAATTTCACCTGATTATAAATACCAAATTTTTATATTTTTATACACGGTTATACATTTTAATAAATACAAAGATAATTTATTTACAAGTTAATTAACATTCATATGTGTCAATTTCATTATTCAAATCTTATTTATCTGTTATCAAGATGAAAAAATCGCACGGTTATTAGGAATCGAACTTCGATCAACTTACAATTAGTAAGTCTCTTACTTTACTATTACCCCATAGTAATAATTAAATGTTGATAGATTAAAATTATATTTTGAGATAATAATGAATCGTTAATAATTAAAAAGTTAGTGAGTTTACCTCTATAATGTTTTTAAATCGGATAACAAATGAGCAAAATTATTTTTTTCCGATTTATCGCGTTCAAGCTTTTAACAGACTGTATAATTGTCCGCGTCTTGGAAAACTATTCAGAGACGCGAAAGTCTGGAGTCTGGTGAAAGAATTTAGAGGAAACCGTGATAGTTTGATGGCAATTTGTCGGAACCCCGGAGGAAATATTGATTTCGTCGAAAGTCTACGGACGTTTGCTCTTAACGAGCTCCATTTTCATGTAAATCCTCACCAGACGAGCGACGCTCGCGTCGCTTTTTCCCAATTGCGCGTTTGCTCTCGTTTTCCTCCGTTCCCGTTTTTTTCTGGCCGCTAAAGTTAGATTGTCCCCATTGGATCGATCGATAGGATCATCTGAACGAAATGGAAACTCGACGAGAGAACGACATTAAAACGCTTCCGGTAACATAATCTCCGCATTGGAAATGATCCTACAATCTTTTAACGTGATCAAAATTTTTACGTTCCGCAGCTGACCGGGTTACAAGTTTTCCCTGAACGGTCTCCGAAAATACTCTGGTTGCGACCGAAAATCGAACGAAACTCCAAACTTTTACCAGGAAAAGTTATTCAACAAACTTTCTGACTTTTAAATTATTTCTTTTCTGGCCTCAAATTAACTTTGCACATTTACACTTTTGCGTAAAAGATCAATTATTGCATTAATAAAAGGAGGATCTTACATTTATTAAGAAACATCAATAATTTTCAGATAAAATAAAAATTTCTACGTATGACATTATTTAAGAAATTTGAAACAAGATAAATATAGACGAATAAGTACATTTACAGTTAAGTCGACTCTTGTTTGGATCATATTTAATTTGTAATTGTCTTCAAATTGATCGAAATATTTACTGAAATTGTACGGAATATAAAAACAATTGTATATTTCGACAAAGAGTTCGAATCTCTGGGATTGATAATTATTAAACTGCTTTGTAAAGGGTTGTTTCAACCCCTAAATATAATAATTCATATCGTCAAGTATTTTTTATATTTTTAAGAATTAAAATTTCCCGATAAACGCATAAACATCCGCAGTCCAATAATAATTAATTATCAACGAGTAATACAAAGTGCTCGTATCGAGCCTAATTTTCGTGTCGCTACAATTTCCATTTATCGAGGGAGAAATCGCCAAGAAACGACTCGAAAATGGAGGAGCCTGAAATGGAAATAGGATCGTGTCGCGAGTTCCGGTATTCCATTCACACTTTCGACGACTTAGTAATTTATTGCATGCACATTTAATTTACAACGGTTGGGAGAGTCGGTTGCCTCGTATTCGATACACGTACCGATGGCGACCTTTCCGAGTACGACATCCTCGAAACATTTCACTCACCTGTAAATGTTTAATAGCGCTCCTGAGTTGGTCGTCCGTCCTAAGGTTTCCGGTTTCCAAATCCGACTGGGGCAGGTATCCAAATTTCATCAAATAATTTTGCTGCAACGGAAAAATAAAACGCTCGGTTAGTTCAATTCCGACCCAATTTCGCAAGAAAATATTTAAAGTTACAGTCTGGAAACTGACTCGAAGCAGAGTACTTGTACGAATAAAATTTCTATTCGCCGTTATCGAGATACGTAAAAGCGTATTTTTGAATCTTGCCTTGCACCGTTTAAAATTCGTCGAAACTCGACGACGATCGAGTCGCGTCGCAACGATAGATTCAAAAAGGCTTTTCGTTTGGTAAATAAAATTTGAAAAACGGTAAAATTATATCCAGGCGACCGACCGCGATATTCCCTGGCGATTCGAGCTGCACTTTTGGCTGGCTTTTGCTATGCGGATACAAATCCAGCTGAAAGCACCTCGAATAGCTCTGCGGAACTCGCTGCCAGCATTCAGTCTGCAATAGGCCACATCCAGCGACACAAGCAGGAAGTCTATCGCTACAGGGACTTCCCTTCTCCGCATAATACACGTTTTTCGTTTCATTTTGCCGAAATTTAGTTCCCAAAGCCCTCTCCTGTCGATAGACTACAAGAAAGTCGATTGTTTCAAGAATTTAAGTGATGTCCCACATCAGCTTTCGGGAGATCGTTCGCATGCAAATCGAATACACGAACAAAACGAAGTTTAAAATAAAATCATTGACAATGAAACATATTGGGTTGACCACAAAGTATGTGCAGATTTTGGCAACATTTGTCTTCAGACACTCTGAAATGCAACTTCAAATGAAATCTTAAAATCACGTGGTTAATAAAGAGCTAACCTTTGACCGTAAATAGTAAGAAGAAACTTTGAAGATTAGATTTGTTTTATAATTTTAACATAATTTTAAAAATTAAATATAAAAGGAAACTACAAGGTGCAAATCTGTAATTTATGTAAAATGTATGGAGAGAATGTAATCAAAGAATATTTCTTGAATAAAGATATTGCATATTATAAAATAATTACTGGCCAACTTAATAGTTTATATTTCCTGTGCATTTTAAGAATTGATAAAAGCTAATTTCGTTTCATAATTTCAATGTATTCTTATGCTGTCGAAATAGAACGTCATTTTGTTGAAATTCATTTTTCACTACACCTTATACAATATTAATTTGATGATTTTGGGTAAATATGGTCCATGCAGAATGTTCACAAAATATAAGTTTGCATTTATAAAATTTATATTTCGTGCAAACTGCAATCAATTGTATGTCTAATGTTTAAATTTTATTTTTTTTTTAACGTTAGCAATCTAAAAATAAATGAGAATATTTCCAGCATTATTTTTGGCTCGAGACTCTATTTTGGAGGAAATTATTCTAAATCTCGAATATAGTTTATGGCCGTTCGCGTTCAACATCCGTGTGGATTTACGGGGACATCACGTGCCGTTGAAAGTGGCAGAGTCGCATAAGTTTTAACAAGATTGTACAAGTTCCTTGAAACTTGTTTAAATTCTATGGTAATTCTCCAAGTTCCGAAACATTTGTGGGCTAAGAAATTCTGTATTCGCGTAGGATTTCCATACGTTGATCACCATTTCCAGAAGATGATTACGCGAATTTCACCCGGTATAATTGAGATTCTTGCAAACCTATCTCACCCAACAAATTTAAAAATTACCAATTCTCCATAAATATGCATTACTAAAATAAAGCAATTAAATAACGACCATTAACATATATATTATTTTACTTTAGATGGTATTCGAAATAATTATGTATATAGTCCATTCAAACTCTTCTATGAAATAACTATTTCGCTTACTTTTTAACTGAACTGTCTTATTGATTATTAATCGTATTATTTAACACGAACTACCAAAGTGGTCGAAACGACCCATTCGTAATTTCTAATAAAAATTGTAAAAACTATATCATAGCTTTTTATAAAGGGATGAATAAACATATATTTGAATTACATTATACATTTCTTCGCGTACCTATCGTTTTAATTTCCTTGGTACAAATTAACAATTAAATTAATTGTATTTACTTTGTTCTAATTTTCTTTATTTCTGTTTCGCTAAATTAATCTTTTTTCCTGGCGCGTCGATTGCGCCGAAAACGATAATCATTATCAAAATTCCTGGCTAACATCTTGAATAACGTTTTCTAGGCTGGTTTTATCGCCGTCGTTCCTTTCGTGGATCCACCTACGACGCCACCGGCTCTATCGAGGGCGATTACGAGACCAAAGATAAGCAAAAGGGCCGTCGCGATAGCTTCACCGGAAGAGGATACGAAGAGCATAATCGTACGACTTCAGGAAGCCCTTGGAAGATGTGAACGAGAACGTTATTACGAAATCTTTCCTGGAGATCGCCTGTCGGACTAGTACGAAGCTACGGGCGCAATAAAAAAATTATGCAACAGTCTCGCATCATATTTATTCGTACGTGTGCGAATAATGTCCGATCCTACACAGGGAATAAGATTGAAATGTTCCGTCGAGCAGCCCCCGTTTTCGTCAAGAAAAATGAGACATTTCTCTCCCGCCCGCGCGCCAAGAGAAAAATACGAGGGAAAAATATGGTCGGCTGAAGTACGTCGCGAGAGGAAAATGTCACGGTAGTGTTGCAGAAAACTGCGTTACATTTCTTCCTGAAACGAGATCTACTCGCGACTGCGATCCGATACGTTTCACGGGAACGAAGATGTCTCCGGTTGGAAACAAATATTCCGAGTGTACATATGTATATGTATACAGTGCGACCCTCGTAACTCGACAACCCTCGTTATTTTACCAAACGCTGTCACAGGAATTTCAAATTTTCTGCCACGGCGGTCAACCAAATTCCCAAACGCTGGAAACTATAATGATATACGTAAAAGTCTACGAATAACATTCTATTCGATGGATATTCGAATTTTCAGGGGTGCAAATTGGTATTTCTTTCTCCTTCTTTCGTTAGAGATTATGAGAGACAATAAAATAGAAACGATTGTTATTTGTTATTTAATTTCGAAAATCGAGTAGACCTATGTAACTCGACAACCTTCGTCATTTTTCTAAACGCTGTCACAGGAATTTCAAATTTTCTGGCACGACGGTCAACCAAATTCCCAAACGCTGGAAAGTATAATAATATACGTAAAAATCTCCGAATAACATTTTCTTCAATGGAAATTCGAATTTTAGGGGGTGCAAATTGGTATTCTTTTCTTTTTCTTTCGTTAGAGATTATGAGAGACAATAAAATAGAAACGATTGTTATTTGTTACTTAATTTCGAACGAATCGTGCAGACCTATATGTATCAATTATCTCGATTGTCCGCGTAATTGTCGACGCCAATTTCTTTAAGGCTTAACTAACCAAACGTAAACCGAGTATGGGCATCAACCGAATGGACGATTTCTCTGGCATTGTTCCCTGAACGCTTCTTTTTCGCCTCCAAAACCGGTTGTACAACGACGACTGCGTCATCGGTTGCACTGCCATTTAAAGAAGATAATGTATCGAGGAATGTCATTCGATACAGCGATATTTTTGGGCCAATCCTAGTCTACCTGACCAGATTTCCTTCTGCTCGACTTGTGTCGATGAACCCTCTTCGAACCCCCTTCCGATTATATTTTACAAACAGCTGAACTGTTACTAATTCCAAAATAAACGACGACAAGCTCGAATCGACGATAATTCTTTTTTCTCGCCTTTGGATTATTTCGAAATTGCATGTACCATACACAAAATGCAATTGACCCTTCGAACTTTGAAAGATTTCCCTTACCGACGCAATTTCAATTTCGAAATAAATTCTTAAAAATAGTTTTCCCCGTAAGTAGCTATATTTTTCACGATTGATTGCTATGTTATTCAGGTCCGGTGCAACGTCGACGGCTCCTAGGAACAATAACTTGGCTCGTCTCCGTCTGCTTCCTGTCGGGCGAACGTTCGAGGAAGATACGCGCGCGTTTATAGCCGGCGTTGCAATAAAACGAAAGAAAACGACGATTCCGTAGAGAAAAGGTGCAGAGGAAAGAAGGGGAATGGAAGTGGAAAAATGGTATCTCATCTAGGACCCCCGAGTCGGTGCTCGCTTATCGCGTGCAAATCCATTTAACGTCCGGAACAACAATCTCTTTTGCAAGGGAGCATTTAGCTATTCTGTCGTGACGCCAATTACGTCGAGCACACCGGGTGTTATCGTCTTCGACAGCCGTGACCGAGTTTCTTTTCGCGAGTTTCTCGATTGCTCGCGCCTCTGATTCGAGACAACGAGCTCGCGAGAAGAAAGACGCGAACGACCTCGCGCCTTCGATCGCCCTGGCGCAAACTTTTCCGCCCTGGGATAAAGCGACACTTCGCCAACGAATGCAAAGATAGTGGATTCAATTTCCTCTGTCATCGACTCCCGGTTCGGCTTCCACGCCTTTTGCCGGTCCGTCACACTTATCCATGAGCTTTCCCTTTGAAAGACGAAAAGCCAAACTCGAGACACCGTTCGCCATCTTGGCTGAGAAGTTGGAAACGAGACCTCTCGACTTTCCGGAAATTTGAATTTCCGTTAGTCTCGCCTTGACTGGAATTTATTCGACGATTAATCGACGATTTGGAAACCGTCCTGTCGCCAAGCTTTCTCTCAAACAGTAGCAAACGACCGTCGAATTTTCTTTCATACCCTATAGCACCCTATAGTACTCATATCTGTCTTTGGAATACGCTAAAATAATATATTTCAGTCGAAACGATAAACATATTTCTACAAAATAGGAACCTGTTTTATTTATTTTTTTTTTTTTGCGTAGAATGACCAGAAAGTGGTATCGTGACAAACACGAAAATAAATTGCGTACACACCGAGCGCAGCCGTGTGTTGCTTCGCCAAAATCAATTATTTACACTCGAAAAAATTCCTACGACTCGACAAAACATACAAAAATATATGCACGAAGTTTAAAATCAATATGGTCGAACGGTTTTTTCTAATAAAAATTTCAAACGTCGTCCAATTTTTGGACAAATATCTCTCAACGATTTGAAAACACTTTAACTATT